CATACATCACATCACAAAAAGTGCTACAGTAAAAATATCTCTAATAATTCACAATCCAAACACACTTACCAGATTGGTTTGGTAAGGCTGAAGTCAAAGGGGGAGGTTGGGTGGTCCTGCGGTAAGTATGCAGAGTGAGTTCTTTTGCTAGGCTCTTTGGAGACAGGGGAGGCAGGGGTCTGCCAAGTGAGCCAGAAAGCTTGGTACGCAGGACCCACTTTCTTTTGGCTAAACCGTTAGGTTGGCCATTTGAATTTTTAACCCCAAACGTACGGCCCAAGTTTGAAATTTTTTTTACTTTGGCCTCCTCAGTTGAACTTGCATCCAGGGGCCGTACTCCGAATCCGTCTCGAGCTTGGAGCCTTCATCCGTGGAATTTTGATGATTTTGTAGGGGATATTCACTAGGAATATTCTTAGCAAAGTCCTCATCGGAGGATTGCTGCTTCACAGTGTTGACGCACCGATTAATTGTATGCCCAACCAAACCACATCCAAAGCAAAAGGTGATCCCTTCATATTGTACAGGTTGGTTGAAGGACCCCAAAGAGATGAATTGAGCTACGGGTTTGCTTATGTCCATTTGGACACAAATTCTAGCAAATCGTCCTCCCGTTACGTCTTTGTTCGAGCTGTTTTATGCTACTGCGATATTACATCAACTTGAGGGAGCTCCGGCGTTCAGACACTTGTTCTAATATTGGCAGCAGTACTTTGTTGTCATATAAATGCTATTGATTGGTTGAAAATGTCATGTCTCCTGTTACATCTTGTTCGAGCTTTTTTATGCTACTGCAATATTACATCAACTTTGGAACACATAATATAGAACAGTAACCACAACCATTTCCAGAAAACAGCCTTAGAGGCCAATAATATTAATATGTACAGTGTCTCAAGTGCTTGTACAACATAGCTGGAAATGTTTGCTTGATTAATTAACGTTAGAAGTATAGCAGGGTCTTTGTCAATGTGTAAGGTTTAATATCTTCACATGCATTTCTCTTGATAATAAACGAGCACAATGACAAGGTATCCATGTCAAAGTGCAATCAAGAAATTCAAGATAGAGCAGGCGACAAGAAAACTGAAGCCAGTGACACCACAAAGAGAGATGGCCATCGCACTGCTAGGCAATTCAAGTTCACGCTAGTGACCAACCATCGGAAGTGATAACACCCTGCAACGAGAATGGTGATAAGGTTTAACGTTTCCCCCGGGGAAAAAAAAAAGTATGGTGATTAGGTCACAGCTAGAGGTGTCAAAATGGGTTTGGACGGGTAAAAATAGGTAATGGGTATAAGTAAGTAAATCCATTTATATCCATTTAATTAGATAGGTATAAATGGGTAAATCAAAAAATGAGTTGAATAACCTAATTACCTATTTACAACCCATTTATTTTAACTTTTTTCAAACTTATCTAAATTCATTTTGTAAACTAAACTATCAATTTATATCACCCTTTGTACCCATCACTAATTTTAAATATTTACTTATAATGTCCAATAAGTCTAATTATCGATTTTTCCTATCCGTGTGCTATGTCGCAAAATTACATACTATTTAATAATTAAATAATAGGAATATAAAAATGTGAACTAAATAATATGAAAGTTAAAATAAAAACTTAATCCAAAAACTTGGAACCCCTAGCATTTTTTTTCTTGCATAAATTTAAATTTTCATTTGGAAAGGTAGGAAAGGAGGCTAAAACTTGTCATAAATTGGTAATGCCGAAAAATGAGCAAGTTAACAAAGTACGAGAAAATACAATGATAAGATAAAATCAACATATAATAATAAATGAAATAAAAGTAGTTAGCATCATGACGAAATGAATAATCTGAACAAAAAAAATTAAGTAGGATATCTATTTGCATAAAAAATATGCATCAAATATTTGTTAAGGTTGAAAAATCAAACGTTCCACTGTATACAAGAGTTCACCAATATTAATGCATGAAAGTTTCTAGCAATGAGTTCAATAATCTTAGTGTCCTTCTGGCAGATATAGCATGAATGCATCTCGGGTTTGTATCATGAATTGTAAGTGGCGATGGAGAAGTTTAAATGGGTTTAATTGAGTTTGGTAGATTATTCAATTATACCTATTTAATAAATGGATAATCCATTTATATTCATATGTAAAAATATAAAATATCTATATCCAACTATTTGTGAACGGGTACGAGTGGATTTAGGTAAATGGATTTTTTTGACACTTCTAGTCGCAGCCACCAAAGGTCCTGCTAAATATCCTGGCTTCTTCACCTCCTGCCATATTATCCCCCGGCGATGGTCTCTCTATCTTCTTTCCCTCCTTCAGTAAAATGCCTCCTCCATTTTTCTCTATGCCTACAAAGGCCACCGCCCATTTTACAGGTCCAAACTCAAACATCCCTTTTGTCTTTTCCTTTCGTATCCAACAAAAGAAAACATTACAATCATTTAGCAGGTCATAAACCCTTTAAAAGAAAAGGGAAAAAAATTGCTGACATGTTCACTTGATTATCAATTTTGTTTCATGACATTATAATTGTCATTAAGTTCCAAATTCAAAATTCTCTAAATGTTTGGAAATTTTTATGACCAAAGAAATCCTAAAAACTTCAGTTGAAATTTGGGACAGGAAGGTCCAAATTCCAACTCCAAGTCTCCAACTACATTATCAAGTTTGAAAAAAAAAAAACTTACGTTTGAAAAAAAAAAAAAAAAATTTTTTGAAAAACTTACGTGCCCTAATAATTTATTACACCCATAGATTGAAGAACATCTTGTCAATATCAGTTGTGCGCGTGTGCTCTGAAACTTAATAAAATTCTCATTTAATTAGTTTTTTTCTTTTAATTACTACAAAGATTTTTTTTTTCCCCAAACAAAGTTTGTAATAAACGCTAAAGTGTTAGCATAGAGCAATAGGCACCAAAATTCTGCTAGAGGAGGTTAGAGAGATTTCTCAAACCTCAAGGGAGATTTCCGAAATTACCCCATCTTTTTAATGATATGTTTTGTCTGTGACAAGAAAAATTGCTTCAGACACTAACAAATGCAACTCTCAAGCTCTGGCTTTGAAAAACATCCTCACTGGGTCTCGGTTATCAATTCTTGACAAATGAAACGACAATTCTAGGTTTTCGTACGGTTGAACCAGCCGAAAAGAAAAGTGGCATGTCCAGCAGAAAAGGCCCAAAACTGACGGATGAGTTCACCTGCTCTTGTTGCTATGATATCTTGTAGCGTATAGTACGTGCAATATAGTTAAGGATAAAATACAAAAAAGTTCTCTGAGATTAAGTTAACTTACGAAAAAGTTCCTTATGATTTTAAATCATATATTTTGATATCTCATGATTTGAACTAATTTGAAACAGTAACAAAAATCGTCAAAACTAACCTTCTAATAACGATCCTATTAAGCAAACTTACGAAAAAAATTTCTTGTGGTTAAGCCAACCTACAGAAAGACCCCCTATAGTTAAATGTTGCTTTTATTTATATATTTTCTGCATAGGAAAAAGGTGAGTTTTATTTGAAATTTTTTATTATTTATTTTGTATATAAAAATAAGGAGAGTTGTATTTGAGAGTTTTGGGTTATTTATGGAAATTTTACAAGTTCTAAGGGGTTTAATAGGTACATCAGCTAAAATTTTGATTTAAAAAATTATTTTCCATGTCACGTAACCTCAAACTCATTAATTTAAATGATTTTTATTAATTTTTCCAAGTTAGTTCAAACCACGAGATATTGGATTATATGATTTGAAATTATAAGAGACTTTTTTCTATATGTTTGCTTAACCACAAAGAGATTTTGCTGTATTATAATTCTAAGGGTATAATAGATCTATCAACTAAAAATTTATTTGTTTCCAATACAAATACTCTCAAAAGAAGTGTGTGTATTTCAAACCCGTTAATTCAAACGATTTCCATCACTTTTTTAAATTAGTTCAAACTATGAGGTATCGAAATGTGTATTTTGAAACTATAAGGGGCTTTTTTGTATATTCACTTAACCTCAAGGGGTTTTTCTATATTTTACCTAGTAGTTAAATCCCACTAAGATTCGGTCATTGTTTTTCTTTTTATTTTGTGTTTTAAATAATCCCTCAATAGTTTCATATAAAGAGAAAAAAATAGATGGATAATAGTCTTTGTATTGTCATTAGTAGACATATCAATATTGCCCTTATTTATATACTAAATTAAATAAGGGTTTAACTACTTTACATAAAATTATAAGGAAATTATGTTGATAGATACAAAATTACAAGGGGTTGATTAGATATTTCTATAAAAAGATAGGAGGATTAAATTAGATACCATAATTTCATCACACACGCTTTTGGAGCATGTCTCGGTCAACACCATTAGCCCCTTAATGGAGATGCTTTCCATCTAACTTTCATTTTATATGAAACCATAGGAGGGTAACTTTCATCTGGTATTGTACAAATGTATAGGGGAATATGAGTAATTTATACTTTTTTTTTTTTTTTTTTGGTTTTCCCCCCATTTGTCGGCTAGATCCGACTAATATTTAGTAATTGTTTTTTTAAAATAATCCCTCAATAGTTTCATGTAAAGTGAAAAATGATAGGAGGATTATTTAAATACTAAATTAAATAAGGGTTTAATCACTTTACATAAAATTCTAGAGGAATTATGTTGATAAATACAAAATTACAGAGGGTTGGTTAGATATTTATATGAAATGATAGGAAGATTAAATAGATATCATAATTTCACCACACACGCTCCTGGAGCATGTCTCGGTCAATTGCCGTTACTGAAGATGCTTTCCATCTAACTTTCATTTTATATAAAACCACAAGAGGTAACCCATTTTCAAACCTGAAGGGGCTCATGTAATATTATACAAATATACAGGGAATATGAGTAATTTGTGCTTTTTTTTTTTTTATTTTTTTTTTCAACAGCCTGAATCAGACTTTTGTTGTTTTATAAACCTAATCCCAGAAGCTGTAGTTTCTCATGTTCTAACAATATTTTGATAGTAAGGAATGGGAAGTACACTGGAAACGCTAGATGGAGAAGCTTATGTTTGGACTCGCTTATTTCAAATGGCAAACCTTAATGATAGTCCCTGCTTGATAATTTTGTCTCAACACTTCTACCGAGTCATTATTCCTAACAAAAATTATCCTTAAACAGTAACGGTACAATGGTCCAGATAAACCTATTCTCAATTAGCAGGAGTAGATATCCTGTCATCAAATTGGTCCATCTTCAGCCGGAATTTTTTCCTGGAACAGCCTCTCTTTCGCCTTTATTGCCTGCATAATAAGATATTGAAGGCTTTCGAGTTAATGAAGACAAATAAACAGTTTACGGATTTCAAATGGAAGTAGCTCAATGGAATTAAGAAAAAAGCCAGATAGCAGACCTGTTTTTCCCAATTTGTGCAAGCTGTTACTATGGATAGCAGTAGAGTTTGCACAGTGGCACCGGATAGGATTCCAATCCATAGACCTTTCCCTTCTAACTTTGCGACAAATCCTAATGCAAGAGCAATAGGAATTCCAACTAGATAAAATGATGCAAGATTGATATAGGCTCCTATATGCTGCCAGCCACATCCTCTAGCAACACCTGAAAATTTTAGTTGCATTATAAGGCAACAGTCCAACCTAGCCCCCCTCTTACCTGTTCCTTCTGATACAACAATAAAAAGAAATTAAGCAAAAGAAAGGAGTTCAAGAATTAACCTGAAAGGGTTCCTTGGAAACTGTCCATTACAACAGATAGACAAACAAGAGGAGCCATAATTGTGACATAATCCACAACTTCCTTGTCACCGCTAAGGACATAGCCAAATACGTGCCGGCTAGCAAAAAGGGCTGTATTCACTATTATCATCTCTGTGAAGGCAAGGATTACGGCACAAATTACAGGAATTCGAGCGCCTTCTGAGTTTCCTGCTCCTAACTCATTTGACACTCTGGTGCTGAAGAAAAACACGAGGAAAAGTTAATATCTGGATGTCTTCTTGTCATCGACAGATCATGAGGTAGGAGCGGATATTCACTTTGTCTTCAACATACCTTACAGCAGCAGAAAGTCCATATGGTATTGAATAGAGTGTCGAAATGGTACTGAGGCTGTTCAGAAAATTAAAACAAAACGTTAGATTCTCCCCTGAAGATTTATTTATTCGTCCCTCAATTTGTAGCTTCCAGGAGGCTTACACAGAACATACCATACAGACAGGACTGAAGTTTCAAGCTCCGGATTTGGCAGAAGGCCAGACGACAAAATCATAAGCTCATATGACCACCATTCAAGGCTGGAAATCATGCATAAACGCAACATCCTTTAGAACCTCAAGATGTTTCATTTCTAAGGCCAAAGAAAAAGAAAATTGGCAACATATCCAGAGATTACCAAATCATGACAGCAGACGGAATAGCAAAGCGGAAAAATTCTTTCACACCATGAAACATCTCCATTGAAATTGGAGCACGGGTTTGTGCACAGGAGGAACAGTAGCTCATGTACAAACCAAGGATAATAACATTGAACCACATTGAAACGTCCATAGCTAATGCAGCTCCATGGTTCTGCAATCCAGACTTATAGACAAGCACCCAAGAAAGAACTGTGTGGAAAACAATTGTGATGCAGGAAATTATGAACATGGGAAAGGTCAGACTTTGCATTTGAAAGAATCGAATAAGTGGCTGAAGAGTTGCATAGCCAAAGAGAGCAGGAATAAGCCATGTAGCAAATGTTCCAGCTTCATGTGAAATCAGAGGATCTTGTCCAACCAAAATGAGTATCCGTCCCAAGTATATCCATATGATTGAGAGTGGGATACAAACAATGAGAAGACAAAATATTGCTGTATATGTCTGAGTTCCAAGTTTTTTATATTGCTGAGCTCCATAGGCTTGCCCACATAGAGTTTCCAGTGCACTTGCCATTCCTAACTGTTTGACACATAAATAGTCCACTTCTGATTAGAACCATTTCAAGACTTTATCTTCCTCAATATATGCATGTAAATCAGAAATTACCCCTAGTCATGTCGTACACATTCTTGTCTTTTAATGAAAAATATTCATGTGTACTTAAACTAAAATCTTTACCAAGAACAGAATACTTCAGATCACATACAAAATGGCAGCACTAGTCTTGATAATTTTGCATCTTCCATTATGACTTACATGTTACCTGTTACTCTTTCCTGCAACTCTTCCATTATCACTTACAAGATTTTAGCACTAGTCTTTGTAACTCTTTCTTGTGACCAAGGAGCTCTCTCAGGTAGGTAGGAAAATTATATTGTTTCGTTGAATTTCACATTTCCAAATTGGAAATTCATGCTCTTACGTCTTAATCTCATAGTACACATGACGGAATCAAAATTCAAAAGTTAACTATGTGCTCATCGTGTTGTCACTGAAAGTCAGATTGTAGTGACAAAAACCCATCCTCCAGCAGAAAATGTAAATGAAGAAGAAGAATCAAAAGGGAATTTTCTTTTTTCAATTTTCTCTACTTCCTTTTTACAGCATATCGTTGTCCTTCCCTCTTATCAAAAAACCTTTGGAATTTGGATTATGAGGGACATGTGTAATTCCTGATATCTCGTGGTCCCTATCTATGAGACGCTAAATTTGACAATTCCCATTCCCTAAAGGCTTTGGTCATTGTTGGACCTTTGCCAAGAAATAAATTAATGAACGACAAAGACATCTGCTTGAGCAAAGCTCTTTGGCTCATGCTATGGAAACATAATATATCTTCAGTTGAAGTTTTGTCTTCTGGACCCTCTGCTGTACTAATGGAGGTTCAGCTTTTGTCCTTATTAGCATGACAGAAATATTTCCTTTGGTGACACTCGAATTAGCAATAATTGAATTTTCCATAAGCTCTATCAATGAGTTCAAAATTCTTGATGCATCCTCTCTCCTCCTCCTCCTCCTCAAGAAACGAACAAAATGAAAAAGAAACGAAAAATATATGTTACCCAAAGTAAAAATTAATCAAGAACCTTTGCAGTTGGCAGAGGCAATTGCAGAGTATAATAAATGGCCGTACTCAAAACTTTTCTGCCTTTCCTCCTATTCATGTCTGCATTAATTATCACCGAGGAAAAACAATGCCTTATTAATTTTGATAGAGACATTCATTGTAGTATGGTAGCAAAATCAAACATATCCTTTCACTGATCATTGATCACACAAACATTAGAACATTAAATATCATAGCAAAATCTCAGAAATCCAGGCAAAGGGAGAGGAATGAAGAAAACAAAGAAGTTCATGATTATGAAGTCAAATCTTGATGGCAAGGTTGGAACTGGATTTAAGTCTTTTATCCATACAAGTCAGATTTTGTCAAGACTTCTATGCGTACAATCTGAAGAGTTCAATTTCAGGACGATTTGATAACATCGATTCGCTTCTTCCTCCACTAAAGTTGATGAAGCAGACAAAGAGTAAATGACAAAAATTGTCACCAAACTACTTAATATTGCACCGTTTGATCACTTAACTTTTTTTTTTTGCCAAAAAAGTCACTCATCTCTTTAAAATGAGCCTCTTGGATTATTTCGGCGAGTTTAACACTTAATCCAACCAGAAATTAGCGATTTAACCAGTTAGTGTAGATTTTCAAGTACAAAAATGTCTAAAAATAATTACCCCAACTTTTTCACAAAAACACCTCAAACTTCAAGACTAATTTGTATTTTGATCAAGCTAAAAGGAGCTAAATGTAATTAAACCCGAAAAACCAAACCAACACCACCACCTCTTCTTCCTCCGCCACCACCTTCCCGGCACCCAACCCAGCATCCCCTCCTTCACCATCACTCCCCTCCCAACCTCCACCGCCGTACTCTCCCACAACAGCAACCTCTCTCCCTCTCTCTCTCTTCCCATTCTACCCCCTCCTCCACCGTCACTCCCCTCCCCATCTCCACTGGGCCCCCTTCCCCTCCTTTTCCCCCAACCCCTCCTCCTTCTTCCTCTCCCACTCCAGCACTTCCACCCATCTCCTTCATGTCAAATTTGGTCGCAACAAGGTCGCGATTGAATCTGATCCAAATTTCGATCTTCAATTTCAGCAATGCCGATTTTCAATTTTCATCCATGGCCGATTTTCAGATGATTAAGGAGGCAATTATTGCAATTAAGGAGGCATAGCTAGATCGGGTCCCTACACGATTGTCCGCAAATTTCATAAAAAGAAGCAGAAGTTGCTGGCAAATTTCAAGTAGCTTTTGTCGGTTTAGTTGAAAAGGCATCTGGCATCGGAAAAACTATTTTTAAGGTGAATAATTCGTTCAAGCAGCCTGCTCCTGTGAAGACTACTATTGCCATTGTTGTCGCTGGTGAGAAGAAGCCAAAAAAGCCGTTGCTCCAAAGAAAGAGGCTGTGAGTACTAAAAGTGAGATAAACTGCTTATAAGAAGAAGCCGAAGAAAGCAATTGTTTTGAGCAATCTACATTCACAGGTCATTTACTTGTTTCCGGTCACATTAAGAGCTAAACTCGTCGGAATGACCTAAAAGGATGGTTTTGAGAAGATGAGTGATTTTTTTTTGGGCAGAAAAAGGGTTAAGAATTTCAAAAAGTTTGGAGACTTTTTTGGCCATTTACAGTGACAGAAAACAAAACAGGAACGTCACACAGTGGTCGCATGTAAGTTTTCAATGTCTCTCCTAAAGCTTAAAAATATTTGCAAGAAAACGTCAGTAAAAGCCTGGAAGAGGAACAAAAGAGAAGGAACTTACAAGAACGCTGAAGCCAATAACATTGCAAAAGGAAATGGCTATGGAGGAGCTAGAAAGTGAGAGTTCACCCAAGTGCCCAACCATCATCAAAGATATCATCGGGAGCAAGAACTGGGATAGAGTCACAGCCGCCATAGGTCCTGCTATGTAGCAAAGTCTCTTCGCTTCTTGGCCTATAACACCCCATGTCAGCCTTTCCCTCTTCACTTCTCTCTCTTTCACCAACAACCCTTCTTCCATTTTCTAGGTGTATGTGTATAGTTTCACTGTTTCAGAGCTTTCTTCAGCTCCAGAGCCAGCCCTCGTTAAATGGGGCAACGAATGACAGAATGAAACAGAGAGACTACAAAATAGTTAAATTGTACTTAGGAGTATATAGCTCTGACACGATGTTTCAGGCTAGGGTAACCCTCTTTTTGGACCTCTACCAATCCTGAAACTGTTAAAGACTGTAACCAAGGGTCCGTTTGGATTGCAATTTTTTAAAGATAAATTGCTATATTTTTCATGGACACATTTTTCAATCATCTTTTTATATATCAAATCGCTAGATTAATTTTTCTACAAAAAATTAGAAAAATGCAATCCAAATAAAGCCTTAGCCTTCAGCGCCTTCCCTTCATCCCAAAGTAACAAGTTTGGGTTGAAGATTATTTGAATTTTTTTTTTAGAATTATCATGTAAAATGTTTTTTGTGATATTATATATGTCATGTAAAGAGGTAATTAAAAATATAAAAAGAATAATTGAAAAATGTGTTTAAAATGTTATTAAAAATATTATTCTGAATAATTTGATATCAAAACACACCCTATAAAAAGGATATTGTATTGTTTGGGTCAGGAAAGCCAAAGCCTGTTCTGAGATCATAGTATCAATTTTTTGTGGTAATGTTGCCAGAATAGATTTGCGTCCAGGACCTTGTATTAAGGAGGAAAATGATTCATGACCATTTCTTGTGGGGCTCTTGTTAAAGACTCTTGATCATGTTGTCGGATGGTAAACGCCCGGTTCCGGAAGGTTGATGGTCAAGATTTTGTCAAAAAAAAAATGTAAGGTTCAGATTTGATCTTATATATCATTTTTCATATCATGTGTGAGACCCATAAAATTTTATTCTATAGTTACACATTGTGCAAAGTGAGTTATATCATGTGCAAACTGAATTACATCTTATGTAAAATGCACAAAACTGATTCATATAATTTCTTTGTTGACCGTTCCTATCCCAAATCCTAAAGGCCTTGGATTTGGGGCGGGAACGGTTCCTGCAACTATTCTGAAAAGTTAATGGCCAAGATTTGGGCAAAAAAAATATAAGGTCTAAATTTCATCTTATACGTCATTTTTTACACTATGTGTGTGGCCCATAAAATTTTGTTATGTAGTCATGCGTTGTGTAAAATGAGTTATATTATGTGTAAATTGAATTACATCTTATGCAAAATACATAAATCGGACCGGATGATTTCTTTGTTGACTTTTCCTACCCCAAATCCTTTTTTTTTTTTTTTTTGTCAATCGTCAACCCTATTTCTATTTCAACTAGGAGGAGACCCAACTGGACCTATGGGAGGCCGATGGGGACAGAACCATCACCGGACCAGACGGGTGCCTAGATTTTTTTTGAAGAACCACAATTGTGACAAATTGGTGGGAGGCAAAGTTTAATGGAGAAAGAGATGGATAGCCACACGACCTCAACTTTAGGGCATTTGGATTTGGGATAGGAACCTTTAAGCCTTTAAGGCTTTGGTGGGGTGGGGGTGGGAGGCAAGGCTTTGGTGGGGTGGGGGTGGGAGGCAAGGGTTCCTACCCCAAATCCAAATGCCCTAAAGTTGAGGTCGTGCGGCTATCCGTCTCTTTCTCCATTAATGATCCTCATCCAATGTTTAGGTTGTTGGAATTTTATGCTCCTTATTTGTTTCATATACCATCGAAAACACATTTCTTGTGTGTTTGCAACAAATATCTTTATGATAACCAAAACGGACCTAAGAACTTAGGTTGACTTCTACATCAATGCTGCACCCCCGCTCGATTTTATTATGGGATAATTTCAGAAACCTCAAAGGAGATTTCTGAATATTTCACTGGCTTTTCTTAAGATTTTGAAATTTATACTGACCTCCTTTACGAAATATTATGTTGTAATATCTAGAATCAATCATTAATTAAAAAGTGATATTAGGAGAGAAAAATAATATGATATCACTATTACCCCCTGTCTACTAAATTATTTAATTAATCTAATACTAGTCCAAATATTAAATAACACACTAGAATTTATTATTTATCATGGAAGATTAAATCATGTACGGCATCAAAAAGAGCATATTATTCTACATATTTCACTTAATGTAAGATTCAAATTGTTTTTTCAGTTACAAACTCACTGTCAAACATGATCAATAACAAATAATAAAAAAATATGTAATCAAAATATTATAAAAAGCAAACATTAATATCATAAAAATCTCAACAACTAATTTTAATATATTGACAAGAATATTATAATGTTAAATTTTGTTCTGTAAAATATTTTGATTGCAAATTTTTTTATTATTTATTATTGATCATATTTGACAATGGGTATGTAACAAAAAAAAATAATTTAGATCTTGTATTAAGTGAAAAATATAAATTGGTATACTATATTTTGTTGCTATATATGATTTGATTCCTAATGATAAGTAGCAAATTTTTGTATTTTTTTTAATGTGTGGGTTGTATTAAATTAATTAAATAATATAATAGACGAGAGGGCAATGATGAAATCATATTATTTTCTCTCTTCTAATATCATTTTTTAATTATTGATTGAATCTAAATGTTACGAGATAATTAACCTCAAGGGAGATTAGTATAATTTTTGAAACCTGGGAGGAGGCCAGTGAAATAGTCAGAAACCTTAGGGGAGGTTTTTGAAATTATCCCTTTTATTCTTTGTGTTGTAACAGTTCTACCTCTGTAACGAGTGATGACAGACTGATTATATTGTATCCTCCCGGCCGGCCCCTTTCATAATGGTCAAATATTAGATGATTCTTTCATTCGTAGTACAAGTCTAGCAGTTTTTTCTTTTTTGCAAAAATGTGGAGTACCTGGACAAAGGTCCAAGCGAAAAGGACAAAGGTCCTATCATCTATACCGATGCATTAGCACCGAAGATTAGGGTTCACCCATTCTTTATCTATCCAAATGCTAAGAGCATATTTGCTAAGCTGAATAATGCTATCAGTCTTTTCTATGTTAACAAAAGAAAAAGAGCACTGTAAAAACAATCTACTGAGGGACTGTATGTCATCTATAACTGTTGGTATTCGACTGCCTTTGTGGCCTAATCTCTGAATGTACCCTAATAATTTCTTGTTTTCAATCTCAATTAGGATGTTCCTCTACTCTAGCCTTGGTTGGCTGCTTTTGTCATAGCCATCTTCACTGCTTCTGCCTGATCTTGCAATGAATCTCCAGTCTTCCTTTCTCTAATAATGCTTGCAGTTGTTCCGAGTGATTCCTTGCCATACCAACATCTGACTGATCTTTGAGCTGTTGGATGTGTACAAGTCTAGCAGGTGCTGAGGGAGTTTTTCGCACAGGGGAATGAATTCTTGGTTTCAGCAGACATAGTGGCTCTGCAACAATAAACACAACTGAAGTTTGGCCGATAAGAGATGGATTAATGATTGCTTTGCAGAAAAGATTCTCACGTCTCATTGCTGAATCTGTATCACAGATTATTACCGATTTGTTTCGAGGAAATAAATTCAGACTCTCTTGTGCTTTATACCATTCTTGGTGACAGCAGGCATTGAGTCAGCAGATTTCTTAAAACCAGATAAAATACATCTTTAAAGTGGCAAACCAATGCGTTGATCATTTGGCTAAACACGGAGCATTCAGCTTGTTTGCTGCATTGTCAGTGATCACATTGGAGGGCCCTCCCGTCATCGCTATTTTGTGGTGAAACAATGATGAGAAGATCACAGGACTCTAGGATAAACTAGATAGCCTCTGTCTTCAGTTTTTACCATCTAAACCAAGAAATTCCGTCTTCCTTTTTCTTTCTTTCATCTCTATGCTCCATTTTCATGTCAATCTCTCATTGCATTAATGACCGGAGCGCTATTTTGTTCCACTGTCTCAAATAGCTTTCTGCAATTTGAATTGTGAATGGATAGTCAGTGAGATTTTATGTCATTTGCATGCCTATTTCATGTGCTTTGATTGAACTTTTCATCTCAAAACTTGCTCAACGACGTATGGATAAGCTTTTCTACTTGAAATGTATCAACACTGTAACTTGGCTAGAGATCAGCATATGCAAGTTACATTTGATGCAGTACATGTGTATAGATGTATTAAAGAATTCATCCTAATGTCATCAGTAATGTTCTCTTCTCATATAAGTACAATTAATTGCTAGAATTATGTGATGTCTCCAGTTATACTTTTTCATGTTTATTACGCTAGTTTTTCAAGTTTGGTGCACTGGTTATAGAACAATAATATCAATCGATGTAAAGAACTCTTCCAGGTCATAAGAATTAAATTAAGGAGGAAAGAAGGGGGCTGGGCCACTTCCTGTTATACTTTATTATGTGGATTTGTTGTCATTTCTCTGAAACTTGGAAGTATCATCAAACACTTGGGCTCTTCCTTTTAATAGAAATCAAAATTTGCTGTTCACTTGACCATCCAAATCAAAATGCACAGGCGATACTCTTTTCTGCGGATGGGACGCAGTCCGCTAAAGAAACAGTTTGTCTCATCCAATCCAAGGCAATCCATATATTGACATTTTCTGCATTCATGGTGACAGAGACAAGTAGTATTACCCCAATTGTTTAAACTACATGTATCTCCATGATTGACAAGACGAATTATTTTAAAGGGTAATGAATGTAACTCAAGCATTAGCCTTGAACATCCTCAAAGGGTCATAATTATTAATTCTTGACAAGACAACATTAGGCTTTCGTATGGCCGAATCAACCGACAAGTGGCATGTCCAGCAGAAAATGCCAAAAAGTAAAGGACGAATTCCACTGGAGTTGGCGAAAGAGTTATCCTTCCCGATGATTGGTTGATCAGAGTGAATCACCTTGAATCTTTTCATATTTTCGTACTCTTATTACAATGATATCTTGCAGTGAAGATTACTATATGCAAAATGTCAATCTGACAAATATTCAATCAGTGCTTCTTTTTTTCTTTTTTTTCACCATTTGTAGGCTAAGATTTTCGTAATCTTGCTGTCTAAATCTTCCCAGCTGTAGTTCCTAATATTCTTCAGTAGCATTGCTGGATTACATTTTATACTTAAGTGGGAGCCACTGCCTTAATAATAAACCAATTAATACTTGAAATATGATTATCTCATCATAAATTGATAAAAGACTTGCAAAAGCAGTTAAAGAGAGAGAGAATCTTGACTGAAGAACATTATTGATTGGGAAAAGAAGGAGAATGGACAGATATGACTCGAGCCCTGTAGCCCCTTTGATCCCAAGCCAAGGCAGAAGCCACTGGATTGATAGAGAGGTATCTGAACAAGGTTGTTATAGAGGGGAGATTATTGAAGAAGTAAAGAGGCAGCTAGGACTAGCACTGCCTCTGATTGCAGTGAGCATTCTGCAGTACTGTTTACAAATTATTTCGATCATGTTTGTCGGCCATCTTGGGGAGCTGCCTCTTTCAAGTACTTCGATGGCTACTTCCTTCGCTTCAGTCACTGGATTCAACGTATTGGTAAGTCTATGTCCCTTCCAAATCTTTTTTTCATTTATTACCCTTTATTTTGTTTTTAGTTCAGCTCAAAGATTATCAAGAAAATAACAAAATTGGTGATGATTTATGTCTTCTTTAACTTAGATATTATAGTTAGTTACAAAAGAAACAGTAAATTCTATTATCTGGCTTTATTCGTCTGTCTTTTGCTTCAAATTCCATCAGCCTTGCGATTCAATTTGAAGTCATGACTAAAGTATTCCTTGTTTAATCATCATGTTAAGTAAAGATAGCAGCTTAGTAGCAGATAGCTATTTTAAACATGAAATTGGCAGTTCGAATGCCGCTATGCCAGCCTCGTGGATAAGTCATAGGAAGGTGTCATGGCCATAATCATCGATTTGTAGATTCATTGGCATGTAATGCATTGATGCCCATGTCCCTAATCATGTACTTCCAGAATTGCCGATCTTTGGTTTTGATATCAGAACCTGATTTAAAGAAGAAATCAAGAGGGATTTTTAAGGAATATTATAGTTTGTTACTAATAGATGAAAATTAGCTTCATGTTTTGCTCCACTGCAGAAAGCAACTTTCTCCACCCATAACTTGCATAGTTGCACTGAAGAGAGTATTGTGCACCCCCACACACACCCCCCCCCCCCTTCTCTCTTGAATGAAGATATTAAACTCCTTAATTCAATGTACTATTCCAATAAGTACAACTTTAGTCAGTAAAAGTATAATTATAGCCTTGTCAAGGATCAAATTTCGTAGGCAGTATGTCACGTAAAGCATAGTTGCTATATATGTTATGACATACTACATGGTTTTTGTTGTCTCTAGTTGAAAGCCCAGAAACTTTTTCGATTTATCTCAGTGTTCACTAGCTCGGAATCTTGTATTCTAACAATGTTTTGATAGTTAGGAATGGGAAGTGCACTGGAAACGCTATGTGGACAAGCTTATGGAGCCAAACAGTATCGCATGCTTGGCATCTATACGCAGCGAGGGATGATAGTTCTTCTAGTGTTAAGCATTTTCCTTGCATTGATTTGGTTCTACACAGACCACATTCTAATAGTTCTTGGTCAAGATCAGGAGATATCTATTGAAGCTGGGAAATTTAATCGGTCAATGATACCAGGCCTTTTTGCCTATGCCCTCCTTCAATGCATCAACAGATTTTTACAGACTCAAAATATTGTGTTTCCTATGATGATGAGCTCTGGCATTACAGCGTTATTTCATGTTCTTTTATGCTGGTTTCTTGTGTTCAAAACTGGATTTGGAAACAGAGGAGCTGCTCTTGCAAATGGCATATCATATTGGGTTAATGTGTTTTTGCTGACGGTGTACATCAAGTTTTCACCAGCTTGCTCAAGTACTTGGACTGGCTTCTCTCAAGAGGCCTTGCTTGGTATCGTCAGTTTTATAAAACTTGCAATTCCTTCAGCTATCATGATTTGGTAAGTTGTATGGTATTGGCACCTAACCTAAAAACAGAGGATATTGTCATACTGAAGCATGTATAGCACTGTTTGGTGAGAAGCTTTTATGCATCTCCGAAAGGACCTTCCACGAAGCATGTGTACAGATCAAGGAACAATGGATGCATGTTTTTTGTTCCCCACCTTCTTTTTTGGTTATTCTATCATGTATCGCCCAACATTTTTCTTTAGTTGACAATTTATCATTATTTGTTTGAGCCACAGTTTGGAGTATTGGTCATTTGAGATGGTTGTTCTATTATCTGGTCTTTTGCCAAATCCAAAACTAGAAACATCAGTCCTATCTATCAGGTTTGTCTCTATTACTGAACTTAATATATCAGATTACAGCACTTGAAAGATGTTATACTAGCTCACATAAATAAAGCTTCAGGCGCACTTGAAAGACGTTATATACTAGTCTTTTCTGATTACATCAGTTGTTTTTTCTTGTTCTGACAGCCTCAATACATGTTGGATGGTCTATATGATCTCTGTCGGTCTTGGTGCTGCCATAAGGTTAGTAAACCCAATCAAAGTTCTTATGATGCTTTTAAGCTTTAACAATGACAGAAGAAAAAAAAGTTTTAACAATGACATTAATTAACGGATACCTCAAGGATCGAACTATTTTTCTTGATTACTGTTTTCCATGCATTTAGCTGGTTGAAAATGATTTTACCCTGTAATCATTTTAGTACGAGAGTTTCAAATGAATTGGGCGCTGGAAATCCACAAGGCGCGCGCTTAGCATTGGGTGTGGTAGTCATAGTGGCCCTTACAGAGGGCGCAATTGTTGGAACAACAACCATTCTGGTTCGGCATATATGGGGAAAGCTCTATAGCAATGAAGAAGAGGTGGTTAGATATGTGGCTAAGATGTTGCCTCTTCTTGCACTATCTGACTTCTTTGATGGATTCCAATGTGTCTTATCAGGTTGCTAAGTTTTGTTCTTACCGTAAAAGCATATCTTGGAATTTCTTTTTCATTGCCTGCTGTGGCAATCTCCAGAATGTTTCTTTGATGTTTGCCAATTACTTCTAGGGGCTGCAAGAGGATGTGGATGGCAAAACCTCTGTGCATTTATCAACCTTGGAGCTTATTATATTGTAGGAATACCTTCAGCTGTTCTGCTTGCTTTCTTCTTCCACATTGGAGGCATGGTATCCCCTTCCCCCACCCACTCCTATCAGTGGATGTTGAAAATTTTGTGCCTTTGACGATTGACACTTTCAAGTTTTAACTGCCTACAGGGACTTTGGATGGGAATCATATGTGGCCTTTCAGTGCAAGTTGTAGCACTTGTTACAGTAAACCTGTGCACTGATTGGGATAATGAGGTATGCCTTTGGCAGACATTTACTTTGGCATAACAAGTATTTCTTTTTGGATAATGACCAAATTAGGTGGAGTAACTTGTAACTAAATGTTTATTCTATATGCAATAAAATCCAACTTAAATTAGTATACAAACTGATTTCAGTTTTGTGAATTTCATAACTGTTTTGGCAAATAGTTAACTTTTAGCCAATATTCAACACGTTTCACAAAGTTAACATTGGTCAAGTTTGCGTTCTTTAGACAAATTTTGTCTCCCACAAAAAGCTGAGGAGTTTTGTTGATTGATAATCACAAGTTACCCACATTGAGGGATGGGGAAGAGGGTGTGGCAAGGATCATGCTGGATGGATTAAGAGGAACATGATGAGGGATAGGACTTAGGAGGGGTGATTTCAACCTCAGCTATGACTGCTGTCAAACCCTCAACAGAGATGATCAGTGGATGAAGTGGGATCAGAAGTTGTGGTAAGGGATCAGTCAGTCTAGCCTGGAGGTGTCCATTAATAGAGGATTGGTGTATTTGGATTATTGAGCCATTCTGGGAGGGTGGGAGTCAGACCAAGGCTCATATTGGAAGCTTAGCTGGGAAGGATGCAATCTTCATGCTTTGAGAGATTGGTAGGGTGGAAATCAGGAAATTCTGGACAGGTTGGAAACAGGAAAGGGAAAGGAATGGTTTGATAATTGTGGCAAAAAGTAAGAATTTCGAGGGACACTTAGTAGTAGGACCTGTGTCATACTAGTCTACTTTACCAGAGTATTTTGAGTATGGTCATTGGGTAAAGGACTTGGTACTTTTGCTTAACATACTCGAAATGATCTTCATCAAGAGGCACTATGTCAGTCTTGTCTCCTGCATTAACTTAATTGTGTTGTTATGTCACAGGGACTTGCCTATTTACTTCTTAACTTAATGACATTTTTTCTCCTTTTCCCCTTTTTGTCTGGTCTGTAGGCAAGAATGGCAGTGAATAGAATTCAAAGTTGCAGCATACCAGAGGAATAATCACCAGAACAAAAGGAAGTTAGTAAAAGAATCCCTAATTACTTCTAGAACTGTAATTATCAGATGGCACTTGCTTCACTGCGACAAAGGAAGCCCGTTTTCAGTTTTTTTGTTCTCCTGCTTCAACTTTCTTATCAAGTGGCAGTCCACGTCTGAAATTTGAGGAACGATAAAAGGAAGGTAAGCATCAACAGATTGATTACTGGTTACTTGAACAAATCTATCGAACATTCAGTTTTATAGATTGAGTCCCCTCCCGAAAAAAAAAAAAGAAACTGCTTTTAGTTATTAGTATATGAATATCACTTTTATCAGCATTTAAGATTCATAAATTTCATTGCACTCGATTAACCCCCAAATACGCTGCCACTTTCTCTAGGTCAACTTGCCAGCCCAATGGTTTAACAATTTCCTTGACATAAAAAACTAAAGTCCCAAGATAGATCATCACTAAGGCCATGAATCTAACGTGATTTTTCGACAAATCTTGCTGAGTTAGAACTTTGATAAGGTAGCCCACGTCATACGTGCTATGAAAGAACACCCACGTTAGTTTGCGAGGATCATACTCTCTTTTGCACCCTGTGAATGATCTTAAAGAAAATCCCAACCCTGATTCCATAAAAAAACTTGGCAAAATCTACAAAACTGATACCATGAACCAAATTCTTGACAAAATCAATTTCATGTGCTTTCAAAAGATTGAAATTCCCATATGAAATAACTATCAGTAACCAAATTAGGAAGCTTGCCACTCGAGTCTGATAGCGTAAGGCCCAACTGAGTAAGTTTTAGACTGTTGACATTCTCTTTCATCAACTGGTAATTTTCTTCAGGTGAGAGCTGGTGATAAGGTTCTTGGCTGCGAAATATTGTTCCTGGAAACTCTGTATCTACCGCTATGAAGCGATAAGTTGCAAGATTTTGCTCAATGATGGAAAAGTCTGCCCTTAAATTGTATGCATACAACTTTCTAACTACAATCAGCTTTCCCTCCATGATTCTCTCCCTATATAACTTCAAAATAATCCACAAAAATATAGAAAAGAAAAGAATGGGGATGCTTACGATACATAGTTGTAACCCATATATAGTTGTAACTTGTAACTCCCGGTTTCTGGTAAGTTTTCAAATCCTATTGGTCTTAGGATTACTAAAATAACTTTGTTTTTAAAAATTATTCCCATAATAATACACTTTTAAAACATATTCCCTTTATAATAACTTGTATAATCTACATAAGACTTTTCAAACTTTCCTTTATTTTCCCTTTTCAAAAGGCTTCCAATCTTTTCTTAATATAATACTTTACCTTTTCTTAGTCACTTCTAATCCTGATTAAATAACTATAAATCTTCTTACAAAGTAATATGGAACAAAACACCAATAAAAATTTATTCTATGTAGGTATATCTCACTAAGAATGGAAGGACTAAAAAAAGGAAAAAGTCACTTGACAACAATTGATTGTACAAGGATATATCTTTGTAGGAAGGGAGGAAAAAAAGGATATATCTTTGTAGGAAGGGAAGAAAAAAAAAGGAAAATGTCAACTCAAAAGCTAGAAACCGATATATGGGAATTTTTATGGGGATAATATTGGAAAAAAATTGAAAACCATGTCTTGAGTGCTTGATCAGTGGTGCATTAAATTTAGACAAAAATATCAAGACAACCAAAATGCTTGAAATAATTTGTATGGTCATACAATAATAGATACCACCTTGATAACAAAAGAAGAGGAAAATGCATGCCCAATTTCAAAATCTTTTTTTTGCTTAAAAAATAATCATCCTATTACCAATAGTAAAACAAAGGCAAATAATTTACCCCATTAAAATTCTATATAAAGAACACTAATTTGTAACAATGAAGTTTGGAATGATTATCATTATTTTTAAGTAGATTCAGTGCAGCACATTTAATAAAATTTCTCCTATAATGCTGAAAAAAAAAAAGAAAAGAGTATAGAATAAAGATGGGTATCGTGTAGTTGTAGAAGTAGAAATTTGATTCAATATTTTGCACTAGAAATCCATGTAGCATCAAATACATTAGAAACGGTATATTATTTCAATTGTGTTATCTTGGGAATATTTTTCTAGAACTGAATTACTTTAGCAAAAAACTCCTATGTCAATTAACATTAACGCTCTGTTTGTTTGACAAGAAAGTTGTGCAAAAAAGTACGTCGCGAGAAAAGTAAAGTAAAGTGATGTAAAGAAAAAGGAAACTAAGTTTTCTATATGTGTTTGATAGACAAGAAAATAGTCTAGGAAAATTTGAATTGTTGTGTTTGGTTGACAGGAATGTTACAGGAAAAGTGAGGGAAGATATGATTCTTGCAATTTTTTCCCGTTTGTTTGACAAGAAAGCAGTAGGATCCATAAGAACAAATTTTCCCATGACTACCAAGTTTCTAGCAAAACTCATCCAGCAAAACTCATCCAGCAAAAATCATGGGAAAAACAAGTCATGGGAAAATCTCAACGGATAAATTTTTTTGAATAACTATGGAACAATTTAATAATGCTACTCAATCACATTAAGACAAGCAAAAAAATTGAATATGAACTGCTGAAATGGATAAAAGCTTGGTGGACGGTCTTGCCATTCAATGCCACGAAGGAAATAAGTCATGCAATAAAAGATTCAAATATGTAGCATATGTTGCTGCCGGCTAAAGCTTTGAAAAAAGAATTTAATATTGAAGTCAACAAGAATAATGTGATAAATTGTATGAAAACAATCAAAAGGGGTTATAGAGACATTGAGCAAATGTTGTCTCAAAGCGGATTTATTTTTAATTCCACAACGAAGAAAGTGGAATGCACAGATGAAGTATGGGAAACATATGTAAAGGTAACTCATATTCTATATATTCTAGTTATGTTTATTTATTAAAATTATTCTTAAAGTTTACATAATTTTATATATTCTTTTTATAGGCACGCCCAAGAGTAAAAAATTTAAGACATAAATGCATTGAAATGCTTGAAGAATTGGGAATCGTTTGTGGAAGTGATGCAGCAACTGGTGAATGATATCGTGGCGGTCCTGATATCAATGCAAAACAAATGAGAAAGAATGGAACCATAGATGAAAATGAGTTGGAAGATGTGGTGGAAGTAGATGAAGGTGAATATAACAGTCAAATTAAGGAAACTCCCCAACAAATTGCTGTTAAGGGGCGCTTTATCCTCAAACACAACTGATAAGGATGAAACTTATTGTGCAAAAAATGTCAAAACCTACATTCAGACCATGAATACAGTTTTATCAAGTATCAAGCAAATGGCAGAAGCAATTGATAGAAAAAATGAACAAGCATTTATCAATCCATCTACTTTGCTTAATGACATAAAGGCAGTTGATCGAAGGTTTGAATGAAAATTGTGTTTACGAAATTTTTGAGAATCTTGTGACGGATGAGACTAAAGCAAAGATATTTTTAACTTATCCACCTGATAAGATAATTATATATTTAAAGAGGCATTATAACATTGGCGGTTCAAACAGGGTTGATGATGAATTGATGATGACAACTACAGGGAGGATTTCTTAAATTCCTTATGAAAGTCTGAGTCTCATTAGGATAGTAACTAATAAGAATTTCCAATTCATTAATAAAAAAATAATTTTTAGTTTATTGACAGTGATGTATTTTTGTGTTTTCTTTATTTTTAGGGTTTGACTTTGAATAAATTACTTAGATGCAATAGCATAAACGTCAATGCATTCAACTTTATTTTCATGTTAGTTTTTTATTTTTTTTTTGAAATAATTGTGCAATTAAATATGTTATTACTTATTTTTTATGCTCCTTTTAGTTAATATTTTAGCAAATGAATGTATTTTTTTATTTCAATGTATTAGTCTCTAATCAATGCACTAGTACTTCCATAGTATCTATCCAAGAAGTTTAAACAATGCTTCACTTTCCTTGCAACTAAACACTATCTAAAAGAAACGAAAGAACAAATAAATGGTGGGAGCCACAACCAAACACTATCTAAAAGAAACGAAAGAACAAATGAATGGTGAGAGCCTATACATGGTTTATATATATACATATACATATATATAGTGCCTGGTTTCCTATATGGTAAGTTTCTAAATCCTGGTTGGCATAGGAATATAGGATAAGTCTCTGGTAATAAGCGCTAGATACCAAAACGTGACAAGATGTTGTATATGGTAAAGACCATGCCACTAATTTATTCACTCTCATACGATTAGTACAATTAATCATGAACCAAAAATGCAAAATAAATTTGGAATGCATTATAAAGTGTCAAACATGTGAGGCAATTAATAAGTTCTTGAAAATTGTAATCAATTAGAAAATGTATCCTAATTTTAATTTGTGTTAGAATAATCTTTCTTTTCTTTTTGTGTGTGTATGTTAGATTAATCTTACACAATGGCTTTTGTCAAAAAATTAAGAGAAAAATTGTGTAGATAATTTCCTCATAATTCTTTGGAAAATCAATCTAAGCTATCTACCATTCTAAAGATTAATGAAAACAAGGTCGTACCTAGTTACATCTGTAAATAAGTTGTTCAGTGCCAACATAAAAAGGAAAATTCAACACGGTAATTTTTTTTTCCCCCGGATATGATAGACTTATTCCTACTCTATACTATAAGGAGAGACTTGATCCAACGGGACTAGGGGGGAATTTGGGGGGACTGAACCACCACCGGTTTAGATGGGTGCCTACGCATCCGTTGATGAAACATTCCAGGAAGCCCTGAATTTTTAGAATATAGACCAAGAGATTCGACCCCTTGACCTACATCCAAGTAGAGCCTTAAGGCTCTCTTGATGGCCAACTATGGTTTTAAACACGCCAATTACTCTATAACAAATTTTACTTTATCCTCAACTGAAAAAAGAAAAAAGAAAGGAAGAGGCGGGGGGAGGGGGATAACCAATGTCGGATTGCTAGTTTTTCTTAACGGTTTTGAGCATCAATTTTTTCCTTCTTTTTTTTTCACTTTGTATCGTCTTTAAAGATCAAAACTAAATATGAGAACATATTGCATTCAGCTGTTAGGGCCAAACCTAATAAATCGTTAAGGAAGTCTAAGGCTGTGAGTAATGGGAGTTTAAGAGAGTCCCTTTTGATACTTTTGCTGAGTTACTGCACGTTGTTTGTGCAAAAGAGAACTTCAAATGGGAATGGGAATGGAAATACACGTTGTTTGTGCAAAAGAGAACTTTAAATGGGACTTTTGTAGATTGATCGACATGAGCTAGGAGATTTTTAATGGGAATGGAAATGCTAGATTATACCCACCATCATTCCCCACTTGAAGGAGATTGTGACATTATAGTCCACAAAAAAATTGTCAAATTGACAGGTGAATTGAACAATTTCGCTGGACACCCTTAAAGTATAATAATGAAGGACAAGTTGGATAGCAATCCTTGGAACAGCTACTGCAGGTGCTTTCTTCCTGCAATAAATTCAGATGGTAGAACTAATGTGCCCAGATTTTTTGTAACTTGAACATTTGCTGAAGACATCTAGCAAAAATCTCAGTGCTCGGACTCAAGGAAGTTGCACCTCAGAGTGATGATCAGGCGATGAAACTTGTTCTTCCACATGAGTAATGCCTGTAGCAGTGTCAGTAGAATATTCCTGGGGCTGTTCACCATTATCATCGTTATGGGGATAAAAATTTATTGGAAACTTTGTAACTCTGGGCTTGTCGACCAGAATGTTCCTTTGAAGCCTGTCAATCAAAACCTTTTGAGGTGGCTCCTCTCTTAGCTGCTCATCATCATAGTCATTGTTAACATAATATCCCACTCGAACAAATTCTTGTCCAACATAAGAACATGTCAGCAGAATTACTGTGACACCAACAATATCCTCTTCACGAATTTTCGCTTGGTCGGGTGGATCTGCCTGTCTCACACAATGGGAAAACCAAAAGAAGCAGAGTAAGAACTAAGCAGAAGCAATCCAGAGGAAAGGTCAACTGCTGA